GAATTCATCCACACGAGCCATTACAACATTGACTTCATTCGCCTTGGCCAGCATTTCACGTGCCATGTCTGCGTTGTAGCCTTCCATAGCAATTAATGGGTGGTATTTGTTGATAATAGCTCCCGGTATTCAATATAATTCCCCCAGGTATTCAATATGAGAAGTATGAGTAAGCTGTCCGAATAACCTAAAAATGGATTTGATGTGGCCATTTCTGGCTTCCACAATCCATCGGGTCTTCGTAACAAGCCGTGAAGCATTAGCATTCTCAGTGGAGAGCTGCTGCTGGCCACGTTCAACAACATGGGGTATGTAGTGGGTAATACCCAGAGCCTCTAGCAACGGACCTGCATCTCGGTATCCCCTATCAACGATTAGGATATCCCCCTTCTGAAACCAGTTGCGCATAATGTCGCCGTCATTGTCCAACTCATTGCGCAACATAGCCGCGTCATTATTTCTGGAGTCCGGAAAATAGGGGCCCTGAATGGCCAATATATAACCATCAGGAGCAACAAGTAGAGCTGGTTTCACAAGGTGTCGTCCTTTATGAATTGAAAAAGTCTGTCTTAAGACGCGAAAGTTGCTACTCTTTGGAATGTAGGCATAAGTACCATCGATATAGACAATGGCTTTAGGAATATCGGGATTATCATTGTACAAGATATTTGCGAACTCGGAAACATGTTGAGCCATGAAATTCTGGCGGTTAATAGCCTGGAACCCAATATTGTTGGGAACAAATCGTTGAATTAAAGATTTTCTAACAGTAGCAATAAATGTACTAACATGTTGTCGGCTACCATAAGGGAATATAGCTTTTATGAATTCGTCTGATAGTCCCTGCCTCAACTTGCAGAGAAACGCTAAGAGATTCTTTTTTTTAACATAACGGAAACCGCCGTCGGTGGGCACAGGGTCGCAAAACGTATACAATTCATGGAACTGCTCTTTGGTCACCGGTGAAATGCATTGAAAGTCCACATCGGCAATGTCATTCTCACTGATGATAGTCAAGCCAGCTTTAGCCAATTGACTCTGTTTTGACAAAAAGCTTTGGATTTCCTTACCTGGAATGATACAAGGACGAAGTACGGAGCGCAGGCCTGTCAATAGCCTTTGAAAAAGTCGCCCAGTGTCGTCAACATGTAAATTACAACATTTTGTATTTGGGGGAATATATATATCAACTTACACAAATACATCAACTCTTGCGTCAAGTGTTAAGCGACGCGCATCGGGCGAATTGCATATCATACACGTTTGGTTAGCTGTTTGTGTCAAAACGTTTAATTGCATACAGGTTGGATCTTGCTCAAGAACACGCAACTCTCTTACAATTGACCTGTTACAAGCCGCACATGCTCTTGTTTGATCATCTATATCGATCAAGGGTCTGTTTTTGGCAAGACGCCGTTGGATAGCAATGTTTCTCTTATCAATATTGACGCCATCAAGACGTACCATTAGATTTGGACGAAAAGCAGCAGGATAAATGAAGCAGGGCATGACATCATTATTCGCCATGTTTAGTCTTTGTAAAAAATAATGAACTCTCACTAGTAGGTTTAATTGACACTCTTTTACAGAACAAGAAAATTATATATCCTAACTTGACAGAATGACAATGACAAATACTAAAACTGGAGTTACTTTCGAGTAGGTATTTGTTATTTTCGTATCAAGTAATCATTCCAAATATTCGTTAATTTGATTACTTTGACTATTATAGTATTGCTATGAGTAAAGACGTAGATTATTGTTATTTCCAGTATTCGTTGTTTAAAAAAATTAATTATATTCCGAAACCCTGTGAGGCCAAAAACCCGTTTTAAAAATGTTTACTTTATAATTGTATGTGTAAATAGTAAATATACATCGATCACGATGTAACGAAAATATCCGTGTTCGTAAGTATTCGTATTCACTTCCACTTCATCTTTCTCCAGGCATTCCCTATCATAGCCAATGCGAATATTGTACACCGCGAATTGTAGTATACGAGTAATAATGTAATCATTTGGTTTTTTGATCGTTACTTCGGTATCTTCAAGTAACGATACTCGAGTACTCGAATGGTTACTTTTTCAACATCACTATTGACCTTTATTAATTTTTTATAACAGTCTTAAAAATACCCTAGTTCAAAAGAAGATAGAACACAGAAACTTCCATAGGGTAAAGTACGAAGCCGATCGTTTAGCGAATAAGACATTCATTGGCCAGTATCTCCGAAACTATTGGTTATTCGACTTTGGCGCAATGGCAACTTTTAATCAATAAGGCTTCCTCTAAACAATATTAAAAGTTTAGGCAATTCCCACATAGATCACTTTTCCATAAGGTTTGAGCGGAGTCCTTTAATACCTTATTATTTAATTTAATAGATTTATGTAATTCGTTTTCATTTACTAACTGTCCTATATGTGCCTCTTCTGATTGCGTTACTTTACGCCCTCTAGCGGGATAAAATATGTTATGCAGTGTAAAGTGTGATACTTCATTTGAAAGCTAATTTTATTAGTAATCCAATAACATTAACCAAAATATTTCCATATTGCACTTGCAACAAAATAAAGTCAGTAATAATGCAACCAATAAAATTAGCCTTTAATTGAAGTGTCAAACTTTACAATACGTAACAGTTTTTATCCCGCTAAAGGGCGTTAAAATTAAAAGTAACACAATGAACAGTCATATTGCTGAATTTTCCATAAAATTACATTTTGGGTGATGTGTTATACCTATGTGCTACTTTCCCCATTTAAATTTTATTAGTTAGATTGACGGAGAGGAGAGAAATGACATGACATTTGAGGATACTATAGAAAGGTGTCCCCGTTAAAGTAAAGATCCACTTGTTTTTGCATTTCTTTTAAAAAATATCTACTTCAAAATATTCTGAGATACGGTCGGTCATTGCCCTTAATGAATCACCTTGTATATGAAAGCACAAGAAATCGTTTGACCTCAAAAAGAGCTGAAAGTTGAATTTTGTTGCACATACTAAAACTTTAAATATTAAAAAATGTTTTTAACTTAGGGCCATTTTCATAATAAAATTAAAGAACGCTTCAATATAAATAGAACACTTTAAATGTTATATCTATTTCATAATAAAAGTATTAAAAAGTACACTTTAAAGCTTCATTTAACTAAATACCCGTTTCTGCTCCTAAAGTCAGTGAATTCCAAGCTCTTTTCTGAAAAATTTTCCATATTTTTATAGATAAAAATAGTATTCTAGCTATACCAACCTTTCCAACATTGTTTATTTTATCTGTTGTTCTGCATTCCAAAATATTTTTTTATATTTTTCAACTTCTTTCAACAATAATAACTTCTTCTTTGGTAAAACTGCAAGAGTACTTTTTTGTCCATATTTATTCATTATGATTTTAACACTATAACACGGAACAAACTCTAAAAAAATACTAAAATATTTCAGAAATCCCTAACTGAAATTTAAAATAGATTAAATGCAATGATTTGTTAATTAATAATAATACTCTCCCTAATTCACCCCCTTACGAGAGAATTTTAACCCCAAAAGCTGAGCTTGTCTGGGGAAAGGGACGGCTATTATTATTACTTGCCGTGGCGCTCCGGGGCGACTTAAAGATGATTGATGGCGCCATTTGACTTACAGGTGAGGAAAACCCCACCCACCATCATCGAAAACGATAACGCATAGTGATTTTTAATAATCTGGATATCATATCAACAGAAATTAAATTTCTGCTAATACAGCATCCATCAAATCGTATAGAGAGAATTAGATAGTGGGTAATCTAGGTTCATTACTTACAATAAAAGGGGCCTTAGAATAGTTAACAGGTAGTTAACCTGGCAAGTATTAAAATTCCCAGAATAATTCGATTTCAAATCATTAATTCATTTTTCAGCTTATTTGGAAAACCCGAAGATGCTTACTATCATTCAACAAATATAATGCAGAATTAATATTTATATTTTAAAATAAACTATAAAACATTTTAGAATCCAAAACCTAATATTTCATAGCAAAATTAACATTTTTGTGGCTAATATTCCGATAAATGTTGCTATTAAACACAGATCAGCAATACCAACATCGTAAAATTTTGCTAAATAAGCACGTTTTGGTAAAAGTACGTTATGAAAACCATTATGAAATGACATTTTTTAAAGGAAGCTTTAAAGTGAACTTTAAATAAAAGCTTTCTTTGTTTAAATCCGCTTTTAGAGTTCAATTATAAAATTGGCCCTTCCTCTTTTCGTTTTAGATTTTAAATGTTTTTTTTTTCTTAAATTCTAAATAAAAATATAATTTAAATGTTTCTTATTTAATATTTGTGTCTTAATGTCTTTAAAAAATTCTTAGCCATTCAAATGTTTAATTGATAGTTTTATTAGGTAGATACCGATATAGCGCACTCTACAGATTGGCTAAAAAGGCCGATATATCGGTATCGGCCGATCACTAATTATAGGATTTACATGTATAAAAATCAGTAAAAACCCATCAGTTATTTAATATTCACCCAGGTTTAGTTTAAATAAATTTAACATAAAGTAACTAATGAGAAATATAGATATTCAATTTGGTCTTACTGATATGAATTTTCTTAAAATTAACACTGTATCACTGTTCGCCATTTTTCAAATAACTAGAAGCCCACCTAACATCTCTTACGTAAGCTACACAGTAGCTGAATATTTAATAATACTGATGGTTCAGATTAATTTCTCATATTGAGTCTAATGTTCTTATTTTTAAAGAACAGTTAAAGAGGTGTCAATTACTAGAACACTCAATTATTAGTGAACCCTTTCATTTTAAGAATTATTCAAAATGACTGCCTTTTAGCTAGAAGGAAATGTACTTTTTTTTATTTGTCTTTGGCCCCAGAGGTAAACTCCTACATAGTCAATGGTGACCGCCATGGCTTGGTAAGCCAAGTTTCTAGCGGCCGTTAGTGACCTCTATGGCTCTTAATGTGTTAATCTGTTTTGTATAGGACAGTGACTGCGAAGAGAAGTCCTTGTCCCAAGACGATTCTCTAGATGGAATGTCGGATATCATGTGTGGAGAAAATTTCAACACTCTAAAAAAGGGTCCCAATTGGACAGACTTCGCCACCAAACATTCTTCTTCCCCGATAGAGCCGCCGCCAGAGTTTCAGGATAAACCGAAAAATTTAATGTTGGATTTCTTTTGCGAAAAACTCGCCCAACAACTCATAAGAAAGGCGATACACGAGTACAGAGAAGTTGAATTGAGGAAATTAAAACTTTTGTGCCAATTACAGAAACCGCTGCAGCATTTATTGAGCCGACCTTGCTTCCCATCCGAGTTCATACCGTTCAGTCCATGTCATATCGGTAGACCAAGTTCCAGAAGTTCTTTAGGATCTTCCCGTTTGTCCAGCTCCCATAATTCCTTGTCTATTCCGAATACCCAAAAAGTTGATGATTCCACTTTTATAACGCAAGCCGTTTCCCATGATACTTTGTCCTGTAACCAAATCAGCGATTTGTACAATGTACCATTCGACAGTGATATTTATGCAGTTCCTATTGATGTGGTGAAACCCCAACTCAAACCTAGACGTTCCCAGCATCAGAAGAAGAGGCGGAGGAATACAGCTGGTGGATATAGAGATCTGGAACTGAAGCATTATCGCATGCTGGCTAATAAAAACAGAACTCTCGAGCTTCATCGGGTAAATATTTAATATTTTTGAGTTATAAAAAAATAATTTAATAATTTGGATTTAATTCAGCACTGCTTGCAGTTATCATGAACATGCCTCGTACCTCTGTTATTGTAGGAAACATTTTTTTGTGGCTCACTCTTTATTTTAGTATTGAAAAATGCGAACTATTTTAGGCTTATGGATCCTTCCAACCAAATAATAAATGCTTTTTCTTATTTCTAACTTATAAGACATTTTAATGTGACTGATATAAAAAACGATTTGTCTAACTAATGTCAAGAAAATTAACAATTTTTTGTTTCCAAAATTATTTTTATATTTTATTACAACTTATTTTTAGACCCTTGAATTTTGAGCTGAAACTATCGAGAAATACGTTATTTGAACCTACCTTGCCTCTTTCTTGATTCATGCTACAAAATTTGATTGCATATGCATTTCGTCTTTCCAAAAAGTGACTCCTTTTCAAATTCTAATGGTAATAATTCGAATATATTTGCAGACGTTATGTTTCCAAAGCGACAACAAGAGACATAGCGTTGCTGGTACATCGGCCTCAACGCAAGGCGAACCCATACACGTAACGCTGCAAGAAATTCGCCAATACTTGCAAACGCTCTATTCCAGTTCCTCGGATTCATCGGAACCGAAAGAAATATCGCACAAGACGAAAAACACTATATTATCAACGAACAACAACAGATATTCCTTAAACAAAAATCTAGTCAGTAGTAATAACGTTCATGATGCGGACCCCATTACAGTTCCTCCGGCCAGATCGAAGAAGAGCACGTTGTTCATCAATATAAAGAACAAGAAGGTTAAAGATTCCAGCGACAATCCCGGCAAACAGATCAACTTGTCACCGACCAAAAAAGACGAGAAACGTAGAAAGTCTCCTACAAAGGTATTTTCGTTGAAGCAGATGCTGTGCAACATGTTTAGGTTCAAAAGATTTTTGGCGCCAGAGCGTATGAAGGATGAGGATAGAAAAATGTATGGCAACAAGAGTGGAGCAATGACGGATGACGTTCATTCAAGTATCAGCAGTAGAGCGTTACCACCTTTGCCTAATAGAGAAGACAACGACAGCGGCGTTGATCAGGAACAGATGTTGGATTTCGCTACTAGTATTCAACGAGTGAAAGATGTATGTATTGGCCCTCTGTATATAATTTTTTAATTACGATTTGCACTTGTTTTCTTAGTTTAGTTGTGGTTGCATGATGACACACAAAATATTTGATTTTGGTTTCATTAAATACGAGTTAATTTGGAAATATATATAGTTTTTAATATTTTATAGGATAGCGACTTTCAGTGGGGAAGGAATGTCGGAAATAAATTTAAAAAAAGATGTGAACACTAACAAGTTCTTATTCCATCTTCATAGTAATTTTCAAAAAAGAGATTTGCGGAAAATGACAATTTTCCAAGAAAAATTTAATCAAAACTTGCAATATCTTGATGTTTATAACCTAATATCTTGTCATTTTTGTACATTGTTGCCAATAGTTTCAGTTCAGTTAGTAACAAGATAAAATATTATTTCCTTTAATAATTGCTAGTCTAGTTATTATTCCGCCTTGTTCTATAAAACTAGATACTACAGTGGGCTTTGATTTTGCTTACTAAGTGCAGATATCGTTACCATTTTTTACTTTCTCAACTGACTTTAATATATACAAGTAAAGGTAACCCATTAAACAGACTTCATTAGAGACTAAACTCGAGATTGTCTAATTCTAGCTGATGAGTACTATAACGACGAAACCAGTCCAAGAACGTTCCTCTTAAGACTGCTTTAGACTACACAATTTCTTGTATAAGATTTTATATAGTTTCTTGTACAATTTAAATTGTGTAGTATCAAACAGTAAATTGTTTGAAAAATCTGATTTTTTAGAGCAATAAACCATACAGATTTTGTCTTAAACATTAGTTCTATTTCTTAAAAGTTTTTAAAACTTTTATTGTTACCGTAACTAGCGTCAATGAGAAATTTATAAGACCTGAAGCCATTGTGGGTTGCTTCGCAAATAATGTACTTTTTAAATATCTTCTGGCTTTGCTCTGATTTCTCGGCTACACTGTACAGCCTGAAGCCATTGCCAAAGAGGTAACTCCCATTTTTATTTATTTATTTGGCATTTATAGAAATATCAGTTGTCATGTTGTCAATAAGTAACCAATACTTCCTATTTTGATTCCAAAACTTTAAGGAAGAAAAACTAAGACATAAAAGTTTACTAAAAAAAGTGTATGTTTTATTGCTCTATCGATAGTCTACTATTGATAATTACTTGTGCAAGAAGATATCAATCAAAATAATTAAATTCATAATAATTTTGATAATTAAAATGTATTATTAAGTAACAAAATGCCATTTTTACTGATTTTTTATTTCATCTTGTTTACTAAAACTAGATAGAGAAAACAGGGTCTTTTGTGCTATTACATAGAATACCCACGTTAAATAGCTATCGATTTTCAATCCATCAATTTTTTTAGTACGGCTGGTATTGGGGTCCCATATCAAGCGAAGCTGCTGAAAAGATACTCTCTAATGAACCCGACGGGTCGTTCATCGTCCGTGACAGCAGCGATGACCATTACATATTCTCGTTGACATTTAAATTGAACAACTGCGTCAGACACGTTAGGATAGAGCACGATCAGGGTGCGTAACAACTATTTAGTCCAAGAGCCGACTGCAAAAAATCGAAAGAGCAAATTGTTCTAAGCAAACTTTAATGCTACGTATTTAGAGTGAGTGCAAACAATGGCAACTCCAATCGACAGCATTTTCTTAGACAATAAGTAGGATTGCCTTTGCACTCACTTCAAAAATGTAGCATTCAAATTTCTTGTTATTTTGACTAGGGCGTATGACCAGAGAAAATCATGGTTGATCTGGTGTATCTTTTTTGTTCAATTCAGCCTAAAATAATGTTCTCCTTTGATTTTTGTGACCAACTCTTAGTCTGTATTCCTTCCTAAATATTGACGTTAAAAAAAATATTTTTTAGGCAATTTCAGTTTCGGAAGCTGCACGAAATTCAAGTCCCAAACCATAGTTGAGTTTATAGAAAACGCTGTAGAACATTCGCGTAGCGGCCGATATTTGTTTTTTCTGCATCGTAGACCTGTCATTGGACCAGTTAGAGTGCAATTACTTCACCCTGTGTCGAGGTTTAAGCAGGTTCAAAGCTTGCAACATATGTGCAGGTAAGTCTGCAGGATTTAATTATATGAATTAACGATTCGTTCAATCGTATATTTGTGTTTGTAGGTTTGTGATTCACAAAAACGTCAGGCGCGATTTGATACCCAGTCTTCCGTTACCTAGAAGGATGATAGATTATCTGAACACGCCTTATTACTATACGGAGCTGTTGGTAGACGTCCGAGAACAAGATGAGGAGAAAGACGATAACCATGTAAATTTAGATAATCAGCACAACGTCCAATTAGTCGATAATTCCATTGTACCTGTTAATAATTACGTTGTTGTAAATAATAATAACGACTCAGGAAATACTCAACAGTCGTGAGATGTTTGATTCAGGGTTCGTGTACTGTATAGGTACCAAATGCTAACGAAGGAACCAACGAAACGTTTCGACATTACGTACGGTACTTGTTTGTTCTATTGAGCAAAACTTTCGATAGTAATCGTTAATTGACGTTTACTGACTCAATTTTCACATTATTAACACGTTAAGCTCCGCGACATTCTTAATTGCTACCGATAGAACTTTTTGTATGTGCTGAATCATTTTTAACACTTGTACTCGATTTTAAAGATTAGTCCTTCCTTTATCTACCTCTTTATATGCTCTTATTGTCCAAAGTTCTTCTGTAATGTGAAACATATCGAGAAGATAAGGTAAATTTTGTAGATTTTTGTTTTGGTTCGTATATATACTTTAGCGCTTAACGTGTTAAAAGGTTTATCATTTCAATGTACATATCTTAGTGGGTGTCTTAAACAAATATTTTGAGCAGTGTTTGTACCTACAGTTCGGTGTTCTAGTTTTTATTCGTAGTAATTCTGTATCAGTGTCACGACCAGTTTAACTTTACAGATGTTTTGATAGTTTGTATAGGCAGTATCAGTCATTAATTAAAAAAATACATAATAATAACACTTCCTAAACCGTACTATTCTGGAAAAATGTAATAAATAATTTGTCGATTGTTTGATATGTATGATTTGTTTCTGTAATTGACGAAAGTTAGAGAATGACAGACTGAAGGTTTTTACATAAAAAAAAATGTATAATCCGGGAAAAATTTTGAATTTTTCGTACGAACCGAATGTTTATTGGGTACTTTCAGAAAAAAATGTTTAAAAGGCAGTATCTTATCAGTATTTAAAATTGATAAGTAGTTCAATCATTTGTACTTTTTCTGCAAAAAAGAACCCCTTGCAATGTTTTTTTCTTGTGATTTTTTTTATGTTAAATTCAAAATGGCGTCATTTTAACTGCATGGAAACAATATAAAAAGTCACATAAAAAGTCACAAATCAAAAATTAAGCGTTATTTTATTTATTTCTTATTATTATGAAAGAAATTGTTTCGGTTAATAATTTCTAACGTTCCTGATATTCGTATTTATAATATAACCGGTAGAATCATGATGATCGAAGAATGAAATATGTTATTAAAAATCAATTATTTAACAGCATAAGTGCATTCACTCATTCGATTATCTTTAATTGCGATTTCAAGAGTTGTATTCATTAGATTAAAACAAGATACAAATCGATGGAGAGACTTAACGTTTCCTTTAGAAGGTCTACATTAAAAATCCGGTATTTATCCTTGGAATGTTGCTTGCTTTTTTTACAGGATTATTTTAGCTATAATTCGGATATAGAAAAATTTTGAATCTAGTATCATGTGAGTATGACAATTCTAAATAATATTAATTAGTTTTGTTGTTGTTTGATGTCGTTTAAATATATAATCTTATATCCCCGTGAATGGCCTTGAACGTCTTGAATTGTAACTCTGTCTTAACTCACATTTTTCTCGCACTCCAGTGTTGCCAGGTAAAAAATTTGTAGAACAGTAGATTGGTGGAAGAAAAACAGATAAAGAATCAGATTTTGACCATACAACCGCGCTATCATTGTTTATGGCGCACAATCAAATTCTTAATTATTTTCAAAAATAGCGTATACCTCACTTCATAAAAATAATAATTGGGTAATTTTTAATTGCTTTAATAGTCATTTTTAATTTTAATCCGGAATTAATTAGCAGTCAGTATGTAAGGAATGCTGCTAACAGAGTTGGAATATGCAATATATACCTGCCACCGAATATCTTCTTGTCCCATAACCTTGGTCATCTCGAGCGAATTTTAACGCAATAATGACAGATTACAACGTTCTTCACACATTCCATTACTGCCTATTATTTCTAGATCCAACTAAATTAAATGAAAACAGTAGAAAACTGATAAAAACAACTGGCAGCACTAGGCACTGCCGTTATGTTTGTGGATAGCGTTTGGTAGGGGAACCAGTAACACTTTTATGTGTACTATTTACGCAAGGAAAAATACAAATTTTTCGTTTCTTCTTGCCTTATAGAAGATGGAAGTACTTTTCTTAAGATGCACCCGTAGTGGAGCACTGTCTTAAAAATTCGTTGTTTTCTTTGTCTATTACAGATACTTGATAGGAATCTCTGTGCCTCAACTTCGGTAGATTAAATAGTGAACTGATTAGCACCCTTTTACCAGCAAATTAATTAGGACGAATCGGTGACATTCTTCTGCTGTTTATTCTTATGATATTGATAAGGATCCTGATAGGTTTTCGAGGTGAACTTTAAGAGTTTTTGGACATCGACAGACTTCACAAATGATCCTTCTGAGCACAGCCTTTGCCTGTATCTTCCAATTGGCGTCTCTCTTCCCTCTCGCATTATATATTCTTAGTTTTGATTGAATCTTTATTACTTTTTTCTTCTAATATATCAAAGTAAAATGTTTCACCTTGTCCGATAGAATTGTAGTTTACTCGGTATTTTTATTACAATTTTCATTTCATTTTTGCACAAGTCTAGGGAGTTTTATAAATATTTTTTTTTTATTATTCTCATAAATACAAGCCTTCATAGCTCAGGTCGTTAACGCGCTCAAATTTTAGTTTTCGCGGAAAAAAAAATATGAAAAAATGTAAAACTACCACTATTGCTGTTTATTTATTTTAAATTAATTTTATTTACCATAATATATTCCCTACACTTATGTAATCCGTTAATCTTTTCGCTATTTACTTTGTTCTTTTCGTGAATCAAACCTGGGTCACGAAATCTAAAGTTGAACGTTCTGAGCTATGAAGGCTTATTATCTAATCAAATGGCATATTAGCATTTTATACAACGGCTTTGTTAAGACAAAGTCATCGAGTACTCCACTGCTGATGCGTCTATCTTCTACAGGGCAAGAATGAAGGATAAATTTGTAAATTAGCCTTGCGCAAATGTGTACCAAAAGTGTCACTGGCTCCCTACCAGTTCGCATGGGTCCCTTTGAAGCGGTTACCAACAAGATGTAAATATGTGCAAAAATCATCCGCCCGTCTTCGCCTGCTTTAAATATAGGAATTTCTTATTTATGCGATATCAATAGTTACGGTTAAAAAAGTTGTTCTGTGATTATTATTGGAATGTCCCAGTTACTGCTAAGCGAAACCCTCTCTTAAAAACGAACGGTTTTTACTTTACTCCAAATGTACAGTGTGAATATTTTGAATTTTGTGGTAAAAACTGTTCTTGTATATATAAATTATTTTCTTTTCGTGCAATTGTTTTTCAGACCAAAGTTAAAATGTGATTTTACGTAGTATTTTGTATGATTGTTAATTTAATTTAGAATATCATAGGCAAACGTACTTTATACAGAGTATATACTATTTATTAAACTAATATTGTTTTACTTTCAATAAATAATATCGTCCTGAAAAATAATTTTAAATTTAGACTTGAGTTGACCGCATAAGGTGCAGAATTGAAAAAATAGAGCTATTAATTGCTTAATACCAGACCAACCATGGTTTTGCTCTGGTTTCAGACAGACACACTTCGGTGCTATATTTTTGGAGTGAGTTCAAACGATTCCCGGAAAATTGGTCTAAAAAAATTTAGTCAAACATTTCATCTCAAAACCAATTTCTCTAGATTGCATTTGATCTAAAATCTTTGTCTAAATTACATTTGTTCTAAAAACAATTATTCTAATTTCTATAATTGAAATATATTTTGCCTTTACATAATTTAATAATTATTATTGTAAAAAAAAACAACTTCAAAAATTCGAATGACATAATTTCGAAAGTGGTAAATGATTGAAATCGCATATGATTTTTTAATCTTTCTTATTTTATGTGTAGTGTTATTGCGATGTTATTGCGAAGCAATCCGCAACTGCTCCAGGCCACACAGGTAAGGTAAATTAGTTAAGTTTTAATCTGTGCGACCTGAAGTCGTCGCGGATTGTGCTCGTGGTTATACTTTTTCGCATTAAATTGGTGGTTTTTTATAGTTAGTGATTATTTTTTAATAACAATGATTTTAGAGCCATTGTAATTTGTTCAAATGTATTTAGACCAAATGTTGCCACTTAACTCCAAAGAGGTTAGAAAGGGTAGAGGTAACATAGAAAGCATTTACCACTGCGCGATGTTTGCCAAAACCAAAAAACTCAGTGGAAGGAGTAGAGAGATGTTCTGGGCCGAACTTAAATATTTGTATTGTAGTACCTAATTTTGGTAACTTTTAAAAGATGAAAAATTAGGAAAAATGTTTTACTTCATTTATTAGCAGGATTCATTTATGATGAGAGCAATAACACTTTATCGGTAGCTAGTAGCTAAGTAAAAGTTTATAAAATTATTGTAACAAAAATAACTTATTAGCTTCTTTCGCGGAGCCGATCCCGAACGTATTTTGACTGATAAGCTAGACCATTTAAACAATACAAATCCAGTTATAATATGCAGTGTAATTAGCGTTCGGAATCAGTACAGGATTGTTACCGCGAACGAAGCTATTGTATACCTCACAAAATGTTGCATTATAATAACATTGAAATTAATGTTATTAATACACATTATTTTTATTATCAACCGATTTTACAAGTTATTAAGCAAAATGTTAATAATTACGTTAAAATAATATATTTATAATACAGTTTAAGAATGATTAGTCTTAAGGCTCCTCTTCACGATGGCCAATGCACTGGCAAATCAACATATATTTCAAAGTAAGCAGGATACAGTGTCTGCAGAGCTGAGCAGTACTCGAGTAAGTTGTACCTCAAAATTGTACTTTTAGTTCAGTTATTATTGGTACTAGTGAGTACTTTCATCCAGATGAGACTCAATACTCAAAATACATGGACTGAAAAAGAGCAAAAAAATTTTTATTTTCACCTTTTAGAAAAAAAATTTATTTCAAAACTTATATTAATCCAAACAGAAGTTGAATATCACTTTGCTTTAGTGAAATATTGACAAAAATATAAAAAAAAAAA